GATTTGATGATAGATTTGACTCAATAGAATGCTCATTTTGCAATGTAAATGAGAATCCTGAGTATATTGTAATGCACTGTGCATTATACAATAATCTCAGAGCCAGATTGAAAGAGAAGTATGATCTAAATCAATTAAATATGAGATTCTTATTCTCAACTGAGACAGGAATTAAATACTTAATAGACTTTCTATCAGAAACTCAAGCAGCTACAAGAAAATGGCTAAATTCAGAATTATCTGAATATGAAGAGAGGGAAATCAATCAGATATAGTCTGTTAAAACAGCTATACACTATCTTTTAATAATTTGTTTTGTTACAGTCTCTCTTTACTTTATCTTTTTCTTTCAATTTCTTTCTATCTATCTATTTAATGTGTCTATCTTCAAGACTGTGTTCTCTTTCTCTTTTCCTTTGTCATGATATTGTCAAATGATTTCAAAGTATCAGAAGATGTTAAAACACTGTAATTTGTAAACAGTTTTTGTATTCTGAACTGGAATTTTCTGATTTTGCATATCTGAAATTGATGAATGTATAATAGTTAACTTTACAGATATAGGAAAAACCCTGAGAACTAAAAGTTCTCAGATAGATGTCATAGTCTCTGACTGCATACATCTATAATTGAAGAATAATAATAATAATAACTGTAATATTCTGACAATATAAGATAATTTCAATTATCTTTTCTACCAGTTATAAGACATTGTAGACAGGTGCTGTGAATCACAGTAGTTTAATTGTGAATAAACTTGCAGAGTATTGATATCAGTATCAGTGATCTCAAATTCTGAAGAAGTATCAATAGATTCAAGCTCTGTTAAGTCACTGTCTGATGTGTTATATTTATCATCTACATTGTTGAGAGACTGTAGTGATTGTAGAGAGGATTCATCTTTAAGTGATGAAGAATATTAACTGAAGTGCATCTGACATTGAGTGTCTTGAGATTCAAAAGACATGCTGTCTTTTATCAATGATTATGATATGATGAGAAGAGATAGTGAGTTGTAAAATAGCAGAGATGATAGCAGAATAACTAAGAATTCAAAAAATATCAGTTTGATAATGATCAGGCAGATATTTAGAGTAGATGTATAATTCTGAAGTCAATTGAATATTTTGTATAAGTGAAGTTGATTTTTCACACATAATAAAACCATTTCTTCTCAGACTCTCTATGAGATATTAGGTTGTGAGTACATGTGAAGTCTCTTATTGATTCAGAAGTTAGCAGGACTTGGTAGAAGTCTAAAGAAGTTTAGTTAATCACGTTAATCTAAAAATATTAAGAAGAGAGGCTGAGCATGCTGAGATAATTCTAATACTTTGAAATCATTTAATAATATCATGTGATGATAATAATAATGATAATAATAATAATGAAAGAGAGAGTGCATTGAAATAT